TTGTGATGATAAGTTTTGTCGCTGATAAGTTTTGAAAAGATATGTTTTGTGGTGATAAGTTATGTGGTGATATGTTTTGTATGGGCTCCGAAAAATGGACTAATTATACACAAGTGTCAAATATAACAAGGAAAACGAAATTTTCTCACATAAGTTGACATGTTTTCTAAAATAAAAAATAAAAAAGTGTAAAAACAGAAAATAAAGAACATTTAAAATTGCACTTAATTAACTGTAAGATAAGCACTTAGTCAAACATTTTCACAATTGTTAATAATCTTGTCGGTCATACAAAAACTGAGTTGACCCGAATACAGCTGTACTGGGAGTGTACAAATTCTACCAGGCGTTTGTCAAACTGAGCGTAGCTAAAATACCATCTATTGTACTTGACAATCTATTTATCTATTTGAGCTTTGGTAGAACACTTGTGAACAGTTTCTGTTGAACATTAGAGATCAGCTTTGGTAGAACTTTTGTGAACAGTTTCTGTAGAACACTTAAGAACAGATTCTGTTGAACAATTGAAAACAGTTTCTGTAGAATACTTGAGAACATTTTCTGTTGAACATTAGAGATCAGCTTTGGTAGAACTTTTGTGAACAGTTTCTGTAGAACACTTAAGAACAGATTCTGTTGAACAATTGAAAACAGTTTCTGTAGAATACTTGAGAACATTTTCTGTTGAACATTAGAGATCAGCTTTGGTAGAACATTTGTGAACATTTTCTGTAGAACACTTGAGAACAGTTTATGTAGAATACTTGTGAACAGTTTCTGTTGAACACTTGAGAACAGTTTTTGTGGAAAACTTGAGAACAGTTTTTATAGAACATTTTGGAATGTTTTCTGTAGAACACTTGAGAACAGTTTTTGTAGAAAACTTGAGAGCAGTTTTTGTGGAATACTTGAGAACTGTTTTTTTAGAACATTTGTGAACATTTTCTGCAGAACACTCAAAAACAGTTTTTGTAGAATACTTTTGAACAGTATTTATTGAACATTTGGAAATATTTTCTGTAGAACACTTGAGAACAGTTTTTGTGGAAAACTTGAGAACATTTTCTGTAGAACACTTGTGAACTGTTTTTATAGAACACTTGTGAAAAATTTCTGTAGAACGCTCGAGAACAGTTATTGTAGTATTGTATATGAATCAAAATCAATAAAGCAATGCACTGAGTTTCTCAAATATTCAACGAGTCGGTTTTTCTTACAATATATTTATATACAAAAGATACAAAAATACAAACTTTAAATCGAACGATACTTATACAAACTAAATATTATGAATCAACTCAGTTTCATCAAATAGGGGAATTCTTCAAGGGAACCTACACAGAGGGAGCTGGTCTTCAACTGCCCGTCCTCACTCGATTTTGCTCCATCCTAGGATCGCATTTAACCCTAGCTACCCCGGGGTTGTTCCGCCCCCTCCCCAACGCTTGGGTCTTCAAGATAACGGAAAATTCGGCGTCGCTTGGGTTATTTATAGAATCCAAATGCAAACTCAAATAAATCCGTTAGGATTCAAAATAGGACTCTAAAGTCCAACCGTAGGGTTAAAGATGGGGGGGGGGGAAAGGGGGCATGATTCCCCTTGGTAGCTATGATCTCAGCGATCCAAAAAATCCTTGAATTGCTGATCGTAAAAGATCAACAAAACTCGCCCACTGTTACAGTAGAACACTTCTGGACAGTTTTTAAAGAACACTTGTGAACAATTTCTGTAGAACACTCGAGAACAGTTATTGTATAAAACTTGAGAACAGGTTTTACATTAGAATGAATAAATGTCAACACTTTTCCTTCATCTTCCAATTTATATAATTGAAATTGATCAAATAAAAAAATATTGAAATCAGAATTGGTCTCAGCTTAGATATTCAGAGATAGAATACAAATATAAGAAGATCAGACAGATAAATTTAACACGCTTTTTTTCACACATGCGCGCGTTGGTTAAAGATTTGCTGGGGCCTGTAAACATTCATAAAAGTAAGAAATATGTTATTTAACTAAATTTATTCAAGAAAATTTAGTTAGTGTGTGTTTTTAAAATGTTTTTTACTTCTTTAAATTGGAATTCTTTAATATTAAATTATTAACCTAATATATGTGTCTTGTGTAAAAACGTCACCAACACAGCATAAAGGATATAATATTTTTCTTGAACTTATTTTGCTTCGGGACATTGCTGAACCGTAAATTGCAAACAAAATACCGCAAAATATTTAATTTTATACCGTTTTGTTCATTATATTAAACTATTGATTTTTATAGCGTTTTGTTCATTATATCAAACTATTAATTTTTATACGTTTTGTTCATTATATCAAACTATTGATTTTTATAGCGTTTTGTTCAGTATATCAAACTATTGATTTTTATAGCGTTTTGTTCATTAAATTAAACTATTGATTTTTATAGCGTTTTGTTCATTATATCAAACTATTAATTTTTATACGTTTTGTTCATTATATCAAACTAGTGATTAGTTCTAGAGGTTTTTGACCTTTAAACTGTGAACTTCCAAGAATCGAAAATTGAATTCTGTAAAAGTTTATTTTTTATTTGAATCCAAAAGGAAATACAAATTAAAAAACGAGAGCGGTTTAAAACCATTTTGAACTTTGTAAAACTTACTTGATTTTTCTGGAACATTTTAAAGTACGGAAAGATTCGAATAAAAAAAACTAACCATATTATGTCTCATACTAGGTACAACTTTAATGGCTAGAATCCAAACTTTATTTTGACATAACCCTGTATTTTTAATAGATCACATAATACAGAATGGACTGTACACGTAATCTTAAGTGGACCTCCATGCAGAGATGGCAATGTCCGATTTACAACGGTACTCTTGAAAGATTTGTCTGATGCAAGTATGAGTTTTCAATCCATGTTTTTGTTTCTATAAACTGTTGTTTTTTTCATTTGCGGTTTCTCTGTCAAAGTGATCTGCGCATTTCTTGTTTATATGCAGCAATGAAGAAAATCATAGAAATAAACACTTTTAAAGGGTCATTTATCATTTAATTATTAAAGGTTTGATTCTTTTTCTGAGATTCTCTTCTAAAGAAAGATTTAGATTTTTTTAAAAGAAATTTATTTAAAACTTTTGTAAATAAATGGATGGTTTCTCATCTGCATGAATATATGTACAGGGGGTTACAGTGCCTGTACAACACGCAGTACAGTTAAATAATTGTACATAAAGTGCCATGGCTTAAAGCTACAAGTACATACTTTGCAACAAGTTCTACAAAAAAAAACACAATTCAATTTACAGAACACATAAGTTTGACATTGAGTAGTATAATTAATATTTTATAAATTCACATTTTTTCTGAATATCTTTGAATACCTTTTGATCCTGGGAGTCTAGAATTTCATTAATATTCCTTGAAGGAATATAAATTCTATTCTAAATTATTCTTATTTGAGAAATACTAACTTCAAAAATAGAATATTCCTTTATATTGTGCAGTTTGCTGTACTCCGCATTTCTACATTAGAAACTTTGAAATACTGTAAACTGTACACTTTTCTCTGTACATATATATGTGAATGTTCAGTTTATAGAAATAATTTGTACACATCTGTACAGTGTCAAAGTAAATTATTTAATAAACACACTGTTGTACATTACACTTTTAGCGCTGCAGTAAGTTAAAAAAAAAACATTTCTAAGTGTAAACAGTCAACTAACTGTACGGTTTACAATGTGAAACCTGGCTGTGATACTGTAGGAAATAAAACATGTACAGAATACACATCCTTATGTACTTTGTTTTTATTAGGGCCACAAAAGTAGTTTAATAGTCAATTATAAAAACATATCACCCCGGACTAACCAAAGCGAGATGCATTCGGTTTCTTCTATTTAAAATCAATCACGAGTTCGTCTATTTTGTTTATATTTTATCGTTTAGAACGCATATGCCGACAGAAAGAATAAAAAAGAAAAGGCGAAAAAAAATATGATTAAAGGTCAAATTGTGATCGAAAGTCACAGTTCTCTGCGATAAAGACCGAACCGTTGAATCAGCTTGACATTCATGTACCTCATATGTGTGCATGGACAAGTAATTGAGATATGTGCATACATTGTTGTACAATTTGCGTACTAAGGATGTGTAAACTGTAAAGCAACTAGTAAATGTCTAAAAGAAATCTCCTCTGTTTGTTTAACTAATGGTCAATTAGACGATGTGGACAGTAAAGAAAGTAAAGAAAGTAAAGAAAGAAAAACTTTCTTGATAAGATCATTCAGCTCCATCTTCCTACATGATGGATAGAAACCTTTTTCTTTTCAAGGGACTGTACACTTAAGGACCCTTCATTTACAGGGTTCGATTTACAACGGTGCCCTTAAAGCTTTGTATGATCAAAAATGAATAAGATATCCATGTTTTTACTATTTTCAATCGTGAATTATCTATAACATTAACAAACTACAGAAACGTTGAAAAAAGTTTTAAACTGGAAAATCGACGATATCTTCCACATTATTGATCAAATAACGGTTTAAAGGGTAATACTGTTGTGAATCTTAAATTACAGAGCCACCTCAAAATTGCATTGATAACCCCCCTTTAATACAGTTGTTAACATGATTGTATTTCATCTATTTACACTTGAAATTATTCTGGAATGACTAGAATATTTTATATTTGGAAAATAAACTAATTATAGTTAAAGTTTGATTTGCTTTCGTTTGTTGATAAATTATAGTTATTTGCATTGAGTTCTTTGATTTAAGTCCTGAATGTAAACCGGGCTTAGATAATCGGATTTTAATCCATTCAATGATTTAAGTCTGATGCAGCACAGCTTATAGGATAATATAGTGTATTTTAAATGAAAAATTATTCAGTGAAATAACATTTAATTAATTTGGACCTTTCAAATTTTAGTCCTAGATCCAAAATTTTAAAGCTAAAGAATGCAATGATCAAAATGCATTTTGATGGCCGAATTGATGAAAAAAATTGATGCCAAGAAGTGAAAAAAATGTTACCATAGTGTTTTAGTCAGGCATTAAATGGATCGGCTTGTACATTTGTACAAGGATGGACGCTTTAGGGAGATTTAAATTACTGTACAGATGTATCTAGAAACTGTACAGATTTATTTAGAAACTGTACAGATGTATCTAGAAACTGTACTGATTTATCTGGAAACTGTACAGATGTATCTAGAAACTTTACTGATTTATCTAGAAACTGTACAAGGTTATCTAGAAACTGTACATTTTTATCTAAAAACTGTACAGGTTTATTTAGAAACTGTACTGGGTTATTTAGAAACTGTACAGGTTTATCTAGAAACTGTACTGATTTATCTAGAAACTGTACATGTTTCTTTAGAAACTGTACTTATTTATCTAGAAACTGTACATGTTTATCTAGGAGCTGTACAGGTTTATCTAGAAACTGTACAGGTTTATCTAGAAATTGTACATGTTTATCTAGAAACTGTGCATGTTTATCTAGAAACTGTACAAGGTTATCTAGAAACTTTTCAAGTTTATCTAGAAACTGTACATGTTTATCTAGAAACTGTACATGTTTATCTAGAAACTGTACATGTTTATCTAGAAACTGTACATGTTTATCTAGAAACTGTACACTACTGCTGCTGCAAGAATGATGTAAAGCATAAGACTAGTGAGAGAGTTTACTGACGGAGCTGCGGATAGGAAACCTTGCTGTTTAGACTTGTGTAGTTCCAAACCTCGAGGATCATAATCTGAAAAATATTTATCAATATTAATTCATCTTAATCATAGATTGATAACAACACAGATGTAATACTAGATGTAGTCTTTAAAAACTTAGGGGTTTTTCGTTCACAATGACCCTGAGGTAGAACCTAAAGGAGTTACGTGCATGCCGCGTTGAATTACAAGACAGAGAGAAAGCCTGTTCTACGTGGCATGCGCATTACTTATTTGGGCTTCTGCTTCAGTGTTATTGAGAACGAAAAACCCCTAATTCTATCTGTATTGTTATTAATCTATGATCTTAACAATTTATATCAAATTTAGTGCAAAGGGCCAAATTTCAAATATTCGATCAAATTTATAAATTTGAGGATCTCAATTGGTCTAAAGCTTTTAATACAAATTTATTAATAATTCTGTTCTAAGAACTAATCTAAGATTATGGTTTCCATGTTTGTGTTCAACCAAAGAAGTGATAAATATGAAATCAACAACTATTTAATTCCCATAATTATTTGATCTTTTGTACCTTGAGCCCTGGTGGAGAATTTAAATATTTGGCTTGGATCCGACCAACCTTCTCTATTCCTGCTCTGAATAATCACCTGGAAATAATTCAATATTTAATTCAAAATTCTATTATTTTAGATTTTTGTGACCATTAAAAATACATTGTTGTTTTAATCTTTGTAATACATATTTTTTTTAAACAATATTTGTAAATTTATTTTTCTTTAGGTTCGCTTACATTCCGTCAACATTATTTGGTAACAATTGTTTGATTCCCCTTAAACTGTAGTGTGATAAACTTGTAAATCTTATTTTAATATTAGCAAATTATAAATAATTTGTTGATTAAATTCATGTTAGGTCTGTTCAGTGTACATGAAAGTTTAGCAATAGATGTTAGATCTGTACAGTGTACATGAGAGTTTAGCAATAGATGTTAGACCTGTACAGTGTACATATGAGAGTTTAGCAATAGATGTTAGATCTGTACAATGTACATGAAAGTTTAGCAAAAGATGTTAGATCTGTTCAGTGTACATGAAAGTTTAGTAAGAGCAAAGTTTATTTAAAGTTTTCACATTACTTAAACTCGATATTTCATTCCATTTACTTTAGAAACAAAATCAGGCCTTTCCATCATTACTCATAATAATTGTAAAATTAGTGAAGTATTAAGATTGAAAGTCGCGTTTTCCTTACGGGACAAATTCCGACCAATTTAAAGTCGATTGTGTTTTTCTCTTTTGAACCATCAGATTTCAGAGTGTATGCAATGGGGGGTGGGGGGGGGGGGGCAGACGAAAGATCCCCATCATAAACTTCTTCACGGAGGGGCTATTATATTGTTTTACCTTAAATTTTTTCTTTCTTATACATCCAGGGGTGAAACTAATATTTCAAAAGGGAGGTACTAGGGGGGGGGGTGATTTTTGAAGAAAATATGTAACCCTGCAGTACATATAACTATTTCTAACCTCGTAATGAGTATCTGGATCCAAGCCGAAGAATGCAAAACTTCCAGTGAAGGTAAAACTGCTTTTCACTCCGATCAACTGCCTTGAACCTACAAAATAAACAATATTAGAAATATTTAAAAACATTTATGTTTTATCAAAGAAGTTTAAACTTGCAATTCATCTAGTATTGACTTTAAAGGGTTGGCTGGGAGTAGACAGGTTTGAACTGGTTCAATGTTTGCATGTTTAATAGTTTTTGTTTAGGTCTGTTTAAGTTTTTATATTGTTTACATGTCGAGGTGGAGTTTTTAGTATCTTTTCAATCATTTTAAAACTCCAGTCTCCGTCAATATTTTGTAAATCGTCCTTGGTCTGATCAATCTTTCCTGCTTCTCAGAATTAAATTTATAGAAACCAAGATGACCGAATTTTTTGAGGGAACTCGAGGATATCCCGAGGGTGACATGGGCTAACAAAATCAAGTTTTATTTTGGCCGTCTCATAAATATTAAACTACGGGAATACCTATGACTATAAATATGTAACCTGGACAAAGCCGGATACTCCAGTCAGAATTTATATAATTGAAAAAGAAAATGAAATTGGACACTCGTAATTGTAGTTTTCTAATCCCTATTTCTTTGGAACCTGATGTCGCACACCTTTGGTATTTCAAATTTTGACTTTTGTTATAACCAAACTAAGGCATAACCAGATCAAAGTTTTGTTTGCTAAACTGTTTTTTTTCATTTTCATACTTTTTTCTCAAAAGCTACGCAGAGCGGGACGTCATTTTACAAAAATGTCCCAAGGGACGCTAAGTAAAACTTAATCTCCCTCTTTTGGGTCAAAGGGCGATAAAAAAATAATTATTATCGAATCTGAATTTAGAGCATGGGTTGAAAGCTATGGCCGGGCACTACACTATTTTTAATCTTTTGCTTCTTTTGCTTTACTAGTTCTAAAGAATTTTAATTTAAAATTTAACAGATTACACTAGAGTTTAACGATGTCCTTTATTATAAATTCCTAATATTTTAATCTTGTCTTGATTTCAAAAATATTTTCTGTCTGCTTTATATTTAAGATAAAAATAAGTTAGAATTAAACTAAATTGTTTAAGGAATGAAAGAGCACAGTTTTCAGGGATCAAATATTGAATTTCGCAAAATTTATGCAAAAGTTCATAATTTCACTTCAGTAAGTAGTTTTGCAAAAAATGCTTGCAAAAAGGAAAGTGCAAATGAAAGGGAGTATTAAGGATCAGTTTCCTGTTCCGGATTCAAAAGAATTATAAAATAATGAAAAAAATACTATATTGTCCGAAAAAAACTGAAACTAACTGTTATACACCTTTAACTGTAAGAAAAGAAGATTGCTTGGGACTATGTTATATTATTTCTAAATTATGTTTCTGTAAAGGATATCTGATACGCAAAAATAGCGCTACGGATTCTAAAAATATAGTAAACCGAACAGTTTCTCTGCAATCTTGTTTACTGGTCAGCACAGGCAGAGAAATGTCAGATCCATGATAGTCAGGGCGGATTATGTAATATCGGATAAAAAGTAGGACCGAAGGTTCAATATTTACTAATTTTTAAGATTTATATATGTTTTTCATAAATATTATTGACCTCATTATATTATATTACTTAGAAGGTTTATTTATAAAAACTTATTGTTCATACTAGACTCTCTGAATTCTAATGGGTTCGTTTTATTTAGTAAGCCGCAAAATTTATTATTCTTTTAAATAAGCAGTGACGTCATATGAGGATTTAGACTCCGTTAGGGTGTCGATCACTGTAAAGGTCGTATTTACCTACATTGGAGCGCATCCATTGCATGGAGCGTACCTTATTATATAACCTTGAACTTAACGAATGCATGGTTTTCAATTTAGCATATCCATGCCATACACTTTCTCTAGTGTTAACTTTAATCCCCCGTTATAAATATTGAATTACCTAAAGTTGGTATAATATTGGTCCACTCCGTGTGTTTAGGTGGTCCATTGAACCCTGGACCTGGTCCTTCGTTCTTCTAAATATTTAATCATATTACAAGGGATACACGGGAGAACTAGATTCTTAATTAAACTTCAGGATCACACACCACACACTAGTACAGTGGTAGCCAGGATATATTGGACGGAATGTCGTCTTCTTTCTACCTATTTGAATAAAGAAATGTTTTTGAGAATTGTCTAAAATTATTTAATTAATTATTTAAAAATTACAAATTTCTTAAAGAAAATGAATGAAGACGACAACTTTTCTACATTTTTCTGGTAGCCACTGTTGCATGATTACAAGGAATATAAGAAAGAGCTTCAGACTTATTTCCTCAAATCACGTTTTGTTTTTATAAATAAAATTTACTTTTTTCTATATAAACTTAAGATGAATTTAAAGTAATATCTGAAGAAAATCGAGAAATAATAATTTTTGTTTAGACAGAATACATTTTCTCACAAAAAAGCACATTTATTCCTACAGAAATAGAAAATATTCCGTGTTGTGGTAGAGTGGTATTAACTCAACTATACTGCAATTCATTACCCAGCGGTGCACAGTAATAATACTCATAATAATAATTATTAAGAAACATCGTATTAATAATTTTTACCCTCATGCAGAGAATGTACAATATAAACAAAAATATTTATTTCTTTGAATAAAAAAACTATGTGAAATTTTGGATTGAAAGTTTAAAATGGCGAGTGTTTTGGTAGATTAAGCCCTTTTAGAGGGTAAAGTAGAAAAGCCGGGTTTTACAAATATCTCAAACAAGAAAAGAATGATTTATCATTTCGCTTTATTCAAGTACTTGGTGGAAATGTAACGAAGGAAACGACAGATATTTCAAGTTTCTCAATTTTTTTCATTTCAAGTTTCGTCATTCAAAAACTACAAAAAAGAAAACGAGATAATCTTCATTTTTAAAAAATATTTCTAGTATAAAAAAATCAGCTGACAAATTTACCAAAATAACTCTGTAGAGGATTCTATATTCTTCTATTTTCAGGAAACTGTCCACACTCCAGGTCAAGTTATACTGATCCTATTCAGTTATTTATTCATTTATCCTTTCATTTTATTTATCCATTCTCCCTTTCATTCATACTTTTATTCATCCTTTAATTTATCCATTCTCCCTTTCATTCATCCTTTCATTTATCCATCCTTCCTTTCATTCATCCTTTCATCCTTATTAACTAACATCTACGCCGCGGCGCATCAAAAACTCTCCCTTACTTCCCCTCCCCTGCCTCGTGTTTCCCTTAAGTCTGTTTTCGATTAATTTTTAAGTGGACTGTTTATGACAGCCTCATATTATTCTTTTACATATAATTTAAGCATTTATATTCAATAATAAAACTAAAAAGTGTAATTTTTAAGTAAAATATTGCATCTTTGTATTTGATCACAATACATATATGGGCTAAATTTAGACTTTTTAGTCCACGGACTTTTACACCAATGACGAGCATAAATTATGTTAAAACATTTTTATTCAAATTAAACATTATCTGTAATTCTGTATCTAATTTGTCCGAAATATATATTATTAAAATAATTATTATTATTAATCATTCTATACGAAATGTCGCAAATGTTGTTAAACGTCTGCAAATGTGCCACGAAAATGTTCTAAATGTGGCGCGAATTCCTCCAATTTTCTTGAAAAAGTATGAAGTATGAAATTTCTAGGAACATAAACCATAGAAGTCACGAAATTATTTTAATAATTAAAAGTATAAAATACCCAAGGTTTGCAATTCTAAAATGTGCAAATAATTGGCAGAACTCAACACGTTTAATAACCTTTAAATGCAAAAACTTTGTCGTAAAAAATGTTAATTTCAATATTTTGCAAGTTCAGTTTAACATTTATTAACTTTTAATAATTTTAAAGGGAAAATTTTGAGGATTTCGCTAATTAATGAATTTCAATGAATTCCAATGGAAAGGGTCTGACTCTGAGTGTGTAAAAAAACTATTTTATCTCTAATTTGTTTACCTTCGAATAACTGAGAGGAGCAGAGAGTACCTTGGCTACGTGTGGTCTACCTGACACCTTAAAAACATCTGTTAAAGTAATTGATGACGTATTTTAAAGTTACCTCTCAATAATGAGTAGTTTAGCAGTAAATAAATGATAAAAAACGACATCTAATAATTTTAAAGTTTATGATATAAGGGAAGGGATTTTTATAGTTGCAGTACATTAAAAATACCTATATCTAGATGCAGTACATTAAAAATACCTATATCTAGTTTTATTACATTAAAAATACCTATATATAGTTGCAGTACATTAAAAATACCTATATCTAATTCAAGTACATTAAAAATACCTATATCTAGTTGCACTACATTAAAAACACCTATATCTAGTTGCAGTACATTAAAAATACCTATAAATAATTGCAGTACATTAAAAATACCAATACCTAGTTGCAGTACATTAAAATTCAATAAAAAGCTAAATTAAATTCGTCTAGATTCAATATTTTTGCCAAGAACTTTTGTGACAGTTAGATTTCTGAAAATCTGCTCAAAAGAGATAAACAAGCAAAACCTCTCTAATAAAAAGTAATAAGTGTGTTGTTCCACTCATGTCTACATATATTTATAGGTTATCGCTGTAGATAATATATTGCAAGCATATAGATTGATAATGAAAGAGGATTATAATAAGATAGTATGTACTGTAGATTCCAGATATTTTTCCATTAAACTTTAATAAATTTTATTCAAGTAGTTTTCAATACATATCTACTATACATATACATATTGATAAGAGTAAAGGAAGAAATAAAGAAAATGTGTTTTGGATATGGACTATTGACTAATATAGTAAATCTAAAAACGGGTTTATTAGACAGCAAGGCGCGCAGCTAGACAACTAGACAGTTAGACAGATAGGCGTGCAGATAGACAGAAAAAGACAGCAAGAGAAAAAGAAAGCTATACAATGAGACACCTAAACAGCTAGACAGCTAGAACACTAGACAAACATACAGCTAGACAACTAGACAGCATAACAACTAGAAAGCTATACAATTAGGCAGCAATACAATTAGACAACTAGACACCAAGACAGCTGGACAGCTAACAAACTAGACAGCTAGACAACTAAACAACTAGACAGCTGGAAAGCTAACAAACTAGACAGCTAGACAACTAGACAGAAAAGGAAGTATAGAACTAGACAGCTAGACAACTAGACAGCAAAGGAAGTATAAAACTAGACAGCTAGACAGCTAGAAAGTTAAACAGCAAGACAGCTAGACAATAAGATATAGAATACACGACAAAAAGGAATAAAATAAAATTGGAACCAAGGTTTTATGAAAGATTGAAAAGAAGATGGTGGGACTGAAGGGGGGTTTTTATTACACCAGAAATATGAAGAAAATACTGAACCTCTGACAATATTGGACGAAATATTGAAGAGAAAATATGCTTAGTTCGGGTAAAAAGACGGATAGGTTGATGGATAGAGAAAGAGAGAATTGTAATCAATGTTTTTACCTCGATAGATTTACTGAGACGACCCAAACTGTTGTCCGCTTGACACGAATAGTTGCCAAAATCTAGAATATACAACTTAATCAATATTCAAGTAGGTGTAGTAGATATAGCAGGGATAGTAGACAGTAGATATATGTAGAATAAGGATACAGCAGATAGATAAATTACAGACATGCAAGACAGTGTATAACAAATAGATGAGTAAAAATTGTGCATATGTTGATATAATGAATAAAGTGGATCTACTATTAGATATATATATACTCTGACCTACCCTATCCTACCCTATCCTACCCTATCCTACCCTACCCTTACCTTCCCCAGTATTTGGTTTATATTCCTAAAGTTGGCAGAGTATAGAAAATATATTTAGAATGTTTATGTACAAAACTAGTTATTTATCAGTTTATCACCCGTACACAGCATATCTCAATTTCGTCATTTCCGGGCCGACGAGTCTCTTATTCATATTCACATCTTTCTTTTATTATGATTCACAATAGGAACGATAAAGAAAAACTAAGAAAACCTCAGAATATTACCAACACTACTACTAATGGTAAAGTCAGGTCCTTGATATTAGGATTTACAAAAGAAATGATAAAGAAATACTAAGAAAACCTCAGAATATTACCTACACCACTACTAATGTTAAAGTCAGGTCCTTGATATTATGATTCACAATAGGAACGATAAAGAAATACTAAGAAAACCTGAGAATATTACCTACACTACTACTAATGATAAAGGCAGGTCCTTGATATTATGATTAACAATAGAAACGATAAAGTATTACTAAGAAAACCTCAGAATATTACCTACACTACTACTAATGGTAAAGTCAGGTCCTTGATATTTTGATTCACAATAGGAACGATAAAGAAAAACTAAGAAAACCTCAGAATATTACCTACACTACTACTAATGGTAAAGTCGGGTCCTTGATATTATGATTCACAAAAGAAAAGATAAAGAAATACTAAGAAAACCTCAGAATATTACCTACACCACTACTAATGTTAAAGTCAGGTCCTTGAAATTATGATTCAGAAAAGAAATGATAAAGAAATACTTAGAAAACCTCAGAATATTACCTACACTAATACTCAAAGAATGAGAATTTAATGAATTCTTTAATTGTAATAAACTAAAGCTTTAATTAAGTCATCTGCTACGAATAACGTATTTAAATTGGATACTAAATGTTTTTAGTAAAAATAGAACAAGTAACAAGTTGACTTTTGCAGAGAGCTAGTCATGAAAGTAAAAAACTGATCAAATTACAAACAATAGTCAGTGATGTCTTATCCATTATTGGGCTTGATCATAATAGAATTTCAAAAAGAAATCCGACGAAATTTCACAATTTGATTTTACACCTTATAAACCTTCATCTGATGAAGATGGCGTAAAACTTATTGATACTTGATATTATGCTTAGATTCCCTCTTAATACATTTTTGAGCATTTGTGATTTCAATAGTGCATGTATTTTTTTTAGAAAACGCGCTGGGTCCGCTGGACAAGCAGTAAATGTGTATTTACAACAGACCGAAACCCTTGAACCGGTTCAGATCAAACAACAATAGGACCCATGGAATAGAAAAGAATATTATATATATTATATATAATATATAATATATATTATATATATTTGTTTTATCTAATCTAAAGTCAGCAAATGCATCATTCTATCCAACTTTTAGAGCAAGATATTTGTGCTTCTGTCGTTATTTCTGTATTGCAGAAACAGTTCTGATTTATTCAGCTTTGAACAATTCAGTATTATAAGGATACGAAGGAAATGTTGCAATCTTTTTCCTCGAATTTATCATAATCAAATAAAACATTTATTCTTGAGATCTTTTTCTTCTTCTTTTTTGCACAATTTCCAGCTCTGTCTGTCTGTTTGTCTGGAAATCTTACATCATATTTCATCTAGATAAAAATAAGAATTCGGAAATCCCGTAGGTCGAAACTTTTTAATCCCTAACGCACTATTCCTTATCTCTTGTAAATTTTCTAGAGATTAAGTTAATTTCTTCTGGATATCTCAAAAGGTTTTACCTCAGAAGATTATTTTTTTCTAAAACTTTGTCATAAAATAATTTTGCTACAAACGATCGAATTACTTAATAATTCCTATATTTTTGCAACCTAATTGTGTAAACCTTAGAAATTTTATCCTGGATGATTTGATCTAAACAATTCATAGTTTGAAATATCTATGGTTTGGAACATTGGGTTGCAAAGATATGGGCATTATAAAATCAGATTTTGTGGCAAATACATAATTTCTTTTTTATGAATATTTAGATTTTTACTCAATTCCAAATCCGAAATATCTTACCAAACTCATTTACGTTTCTGAGAACGAGGACACGTCTGTTTCCATAGCTCTCCATGTGACGGTTGTTGGTTGGTTCAAGGATCATAGTTTCCTGATAAATACAAGATAATTATAATAATAACAATAACAATACTCTTTATAATAGCAATACTGTTTATAATAGCAATAACAATCATGATAATAACGATAACAATAATGTTAATAATAGCAATAACAATCATGATAATAACGATAACAATAATGTTAATAATAGCTTTAACAATCATGATAATAACGATAACAATATTGCTAATAATAGCAATAACAAACATGATCATAACAATAATGTTTATAATAGCAATAACAATCATGATAATAATAACAATAACAATAATGATAATAATAATAGTCACAAAAAAATCGTCACTCTCAATCTCAAAATATCAGAAAATATATAAGTAAAGATAAAAAGTAGACATTTTTAGGATAAGAAAGAAAAAACAAATAATTAGTTTAAAAATGTGTAAACAATCACAAAAACCACTTGAGAAAGTAAATTTTTTAAAATTTAAAAAGATTATGATTAGTAAATAATTTAGTTGGTTTCTAAAGGTTCTACAAAGTCTCCTATTTAGTATTTATGCGTTAAACTTCGTAAAAGGACTATAACAAGTTTTACTAAAAGCACGTCAAAGGCTGGTTCAATTGTATAATAATACTTTAATTATTACAGGGGCAGACATTTTCAGGGAATTCCGGGCTTTAAAACAATAGAATTCCAAAAATTTAACCTTTTTTGCGCTTCTACATACAGAACATCTAGGGAATTACTTTTAAGAAAAATTTACAACACAAAAATATTAGATAAATATATAGTTTTACTCATGTATTTTGGTTGATAATTAGATAAATATATAGTTTTACTCATGTATTTTGGTTGATAATTAGATAAATATATAGTTTTACTCATGTATTTTGGTTGATAACTTTGATAAATTTACCTTAAACCATTTTACTTCTGGAATAGGTTCACCGTGCACAATGCAGGAAACCTACAAAGTTAGCAAATGATTAAAAACTAACAATGTAACTATACAGTGATGCCCAAAAAATGTTGAATTGAAAGACAGCTGTCAGACTCAAGTTTTTTTCAATTAGTCCATGTTAACATGAAACACATGAATTATGCAGAGCACATATATAAAGCATACATTTAAGAAGAAAGTAATTTTGCTTGTAACTTAAAAGTCAGTTTATTCAGTGCAATGCAAAGACTTTTAAAGATACAAGAAAATTATTTGCTTCATAGCAACATTATAAACACATAAGATTACTTAAATGTCATCTTTCTATTCAACAATTGAATTTTCTGGGCCCCACTGCATGGTATCAGGAATTATTTTATATTTTCCTTTTTTGAAAAGTTTGAGGCTGAGAGTGTATAGTTTGTGAGTTAGCTACAGAAGATGACAGAAATGACAGTCAGTTCATTTTACTAAATTAATTTCTCCACATTTCCAGACAATGAAAAGGAAGAGATTTATATCTGTAAAACTGAATTAAATGAAGATTTTTTTATAAAAATTTAAAGACAAAATAGATTTAGGGTTTTCTTACCTCAGCTTCGATCCCATCTTTGGTCTTAATCCAGGTTGAGTCCATCTCTATCTCAGGGGGGTCTAAATAGTAGGAAGGTTTAGAGCATATATAATGTTTATCTCAGAGGGGGTTCTAATCAGTGGGAAGGTTTAGAGTATGTATAATATCTCAGGGGGGTCTAAACAGTGGGAAGGTTTAGAGTATATATATCTCATGGGGTCTAAACAGTAGGAAGGTTTAGAGTATATATATCTCAGGGGGGTCTAAACAGTAGGAAGGTTTAGAGTATATATGTCAAGGGGTCTAAAAAATAGGAAGATCTTATCAGGGTCTTATCCATAGGTCTTACTAGGATATTCCAGGGGGGGGGGAAGGGGGATTTAATGCTAATAATTGTAATTGCATAAGTCGTAAAAAACATAAAAAAAAAGACATTTTAAGGCAGGAGACTTGACTTTGAATTTTCATTTTTAAGAGTTTCAAGACGTCTTTACAGTTTCATCTTTTGTGGGTAATCGTGTAAAATATGTAAAATATTCTGTTTTGAAGAAATCTAAAACTTGTAATCGACTTTTCTTTATGTTTGGTACATATTCCCCCTTCTCCCTACTTTTTATCCATCTTCGATATTTCAGTTCCAATCTTCCTGGATTTTACATCATGTCAACTTTACTCTTATAAATCCAACTTGTTCCTTCTGGTCAATCCATTAAATCCCCAGCCATTGATCCACAATACAGTTAATTTAGTTAATATATCCGATATGGGACCCTCTAAATCTGTATTTAAATGATAATGTTGAAGATATCATCGTTTTTCTATTGGAAAACGTGTTTATTTTTGACAATTTCCTTCTTTTCCAATGCTGCATAATGCGAATTATAGAATATATGAAGAGATACCATTACTCTGTTATATATTCCTTTATTGAATGTATCCGTCACTAAATCTCTTAAAGTGTTTAATCTTCAGAAAAGAGAAGTGTTTAATTTGTTGATTTCGCCCATTGTTTCCGAAACAAGAAATGCTTTCATTTTTTGAGAAATCACAAATGAAAATTATCAATTTTCAAAAACCAAAAAGGGATGTATATAATTCATATTTGTCCAACAAATCTTTTAAGGATATGCATTATAAATCGGACCCACTCAATCAAAATCTGTTTACTGTCTCTTTAACATAATAGCCTTTAATTAATCCATTTGGAATGAAAATGGCATTTTGTTATCATGCTGTAAATGAAATTAGTTTACTGCAGCTATTTAATAAAACATTTAAATTTACAAACTTTTCTTGCATTTGTCATCGTTTTTCTCTTTCCCTCCTAAACACTGGACCCCTCCAAACTAAGTAAACCCTACAAACTTCTTTAAATTCCCCTCCCCCCCCTACCTCACCCCCCCCCCTCTTTTCTGACAGAAAAACAGACGAAACAAAACGAAAGTGATAAAAGTCCCCCCAACTCAGTCACGATCTTCAATTCCCTGATTCAGATTTCAATATATTTACACTTTTTTGCAGGAATATTGTTTCAAAACGGGGAAAGGGTTCGGCCTAATGGCAGAGGAAGGGGGGGGGAACGGTTCGGCCTGACAGTAAAGGAAGAGGGGGGGGGGGAAGGGGAAATTAAAAAGTGTGATTTCCTCCAATAGTTTAGAAGTGAGACTGTTGTTTGATAAAGAAGGGTAAGGTTGGCGCCAGGCGGCAGGAAAAGTTAGATTAACTATTTCAACACTATATAACTATATAGTATTGAATTCAACCCGGTGAATAATATAAACACCTTTTACCACAATCCTCCCCCCTTTGGTAAACCTTGTTTAAAGGGAGTGTTCGCGAAAAATTAAAGGGGGTGGTGTAAAAGTAGAACATTGCGTCTAAAAGGAGAACATTGTCAAAAGTTACTCTTACCGCAGAGCGCAGCGTCCATTCGAATTCAGAAAGTTGTAACATACAACTTGGATCGTAAAAATCAATTTAATTCCAAACAAATCATTCAGCTATTACAACCTATAACCATAGATAATTTTTGGACGCATTCGTAAAAAGTTGATATTTCATAATATTTTTTATTTGTTTTATATTATACAATGCGCTTAAAACAATGATTTTATCCACTAGGTGTCTCTACCACGTGGGTCGTGGATTCATTCACAGCATCGAGAGCAGAGAACCCCGGCAGCCAACAAATTGTCGTTTTATGTGCATTGTATATTTTTCGCAAACACTCCCTTTAATTCCATCCCTCTCTGATTTTAACCAGTTTTAATAACTGGGATAGTATTTATTTATTTCGAAATATAATCAATCAATCAATTAGTTTTAGCGTAACGTGACAAGCTTCAAAACTTTCAACTCTTTTAACCCTATCCCTGCTGGGGTACTTGAAAACCAGGATACGCTGGTCCGATGGAATTACTCGTGTGTATACATTGTGTCAAGAGAAGGGGGGACACTGTATTATAATTGGAAATGGAATTCTATGAATATGAATGAACCGGATTTTCTCACTTTACTCTCTATCTATCTATTTTTCCAAAAAATATGGCGTAATGACGAAAAAACTTTTGGATAGATAAAATAAGTGCAATTTTATGTGTTCTTTATTTTCTGTTTTTACAGTTTTGTAATTAATCTTTGAAAATATTTCAACCACAGAAAAGATTTCAACTAATGTAGGACAATTTTGTTTTTCTTGTAATATTTGACACTTGTGACGTCGTGTGTAATTGGTCTAATTCTCTGTTGCCATGCCTATTGTACTTGATAATCTATTTAGTATGTACCATGAATAATTTAGCTGTGAACAAAAATTTTAATTTATCGATTTATTGATTGTCCTGTGAAGAAATTAACATTATTTAAAAACAATCAGTGCGGATTAGGGGTAGAGGGGAGGGGACTTCGGGGGGGGGGGGATTATCCTCGACGAGAGGTGTTTATATGTAGAGAGGGAAAGGAAAAGTATGAGAACATGGAACGAAAATATTAAATATAAATATTTTAAAAATCTCTGGAAAAGGAGAAAAAAATTACCAAAGATCGATGGAGAGGGGGGTTAATGTTCGTTGTTTGAAGTTGTTTAATTCAATTCCCCCCATTCCAGAGTTCATGATGGCAGACTCATTTTAATAATGAGATTTTCTTCAAGAAACTATTGGAATCATGGAATATGTTTTCTTGAAGGAACCATTGGAATTATGGAATATATTTGCTTGAAGAAACCATTGGAATCAAGGAATAAATTATTTTGAAGAACCCATTAGAATCATGGAACATATTTTCCTGGAGGAACCATTGGAATTATGGAATATAATTTTTTGAAGGAGCCATTGGAATCACGGAATATATTTTCTTGAAGGTAAAATTGGAACCATGGTATCTTGAAGGAACAATTGGAATCACGGAATATATTTTCCTGGAGGAACCATTAGAATTGTTGAATATATATTGAAGGAACCATTGGAATCATGGAATATATTTTCCTGGAGGAACCATTGGAATCGTGGGATATAATTTTTTTGAAGGAACCACTGGAATCATGGAATATATTTTCCTGGAGAAACCATTTGAATTATGGAATATATTTTCCTGTAGGAACCATTGGAATCATGGAATATATTTTTCTAAAGAAAACATTAAAATCATGGGATACGTTTTTTTGAAGGAACCACTGGAATCATAGGATATAATTTTCCTATAGGAATCATTGGAATCAAGGGCTACATTTTCATAAAGGAACCATCGGAATTATGGAGTATATTTTCATTAAAAAAAACAACATTGAATTAAAAAATGTAAAATTTTGTTCTTCAAAAAGTTTTTTTACAAACTATTTATATATATATTGAAGAAGCTGTTAATATTGTGCACTGTACAGTGTACACAATAAAATCTCCGTCAGATTTTCTATTTAATCCTCTGTTCGTATTCCGGGACATGTCAACACACTATTTTATTTGAATAAATTTACAGTTCAAAATCGTTATATCCAATTCGAAATATATCTATGATAAAGGGAGTACAGGAATTAGATTTGTCTTACAAAAAACTAAAAAACGTTCAAAGAGGTCCGGCTTTCATACGTTTAAGTAAATTAAAGATTTTTTTAAGAAAAAAATCCGCGAAAATATATTTTTGTGACATTTTCTCTATTAAATAAAAAGAGAAGCTAAGTTTTAAATGTATGAGATTTCAGTTTTACGTTGAATTTAGTTTGATTGATGTGTTTTAATTATTTTAATTCTATGCAGATTTCATTATTTTAAATCTTTAATGAAATTTTAGAAAATGTTTCCGAATACGGTTCTTTGAGAGTTTTCAGAGAAAATGATTTTTGTCGGAAGGATTTTGATTTGATTGAATTTTGTAAAAAAAATTGGTGTTGATGCTGTTTTTTTATTTTCTTTGATTTTGACGCGTGAATTTCTACAGCAAACATAACTGTCGCTCATTATAAGATTCAGAATAACTTTAATTGAGGTCTCACTTGACAAATCCTTAGATAATTTGACAAACTGCAGGGTGTCCCAATAAATATCGTCTTTTATTTTCGATAAATGTTAATCAAAAAAAGATTTTTTAAATGTGGTCTAGTTTTATTGTATCATAAAATGTAATTACTCGATAAAGCATTTCCAAAATTTAGAATCTCTACACTTTGGGTTTTCCAGTTTATTGGGACACCCTGTGCATTTCTTTCTCAGCCATAATACTGTCTGTACACATCCTTTCACTATATGTCTATCTATCTATCCTATTTCTGAATATTCTCTTGATTTTCTGTCATTTTCAGAAGATAATATTGTTCGCTAGAAGCTTGAATAAACATATTTTACAACAGTTTTCTAATGTTAGCGATGAACCGGAAAATCTGAGTTTGGATACGCAGACCCAGTTTAGGATTCCTGGGATAAACCCTGCTCCTTGGAATTGCCTAGATAAACGATTCTAAAGCAATCCAATATACACTTAGTTCATTATTCAACATATCAAAACTAGGTCTTTCTTCTTTATCAGTTCTTGCTCTTTTTTTTTTGTTTGGCTCGGCGGGATATTTATTTTTTTTCTCGCAAATTTTTTAAAAATCATAAAAATTAAATATTGACTCATCCCGGATTTAAGTTTTTAATTTTAATTTATCAAACATGGGGAAACTATGGCGAGACGTGTTACTTTTAAAAAGAATGTGTTTTTTCCTTTTAATGTTTTTTTTTTTTGACATTGTGATTTGTGATGACCATATTTAGAACTGTTAATATCTGTGATTATTGAGTTGTTAAAATTTTACTGTCTCAAAAAAAATGCTTTACTATCAGATTATATAATGTTTAATCAGTTTTTAGGAAACAGGTGTCAAATCTTAACACTTAACAAAAGTTTTCAAGGAGTAGCTTTACTTTGCAAACCTTAATAGAGCTAGTTTATGGTATTTTTGTTGAATATATTCTGCTAATGCAAGGAATATTTAAAACTTAATAGTTCAGTGCAAAACCATTTAGGATTTTCCTAATCTTATTATATTCTCCGGGTTTCTTGCTTTTCTCTAAAGAGTTAACATTAAATTCATCCTTCGAAATTAAATTCCTCAGATTGTAAGGGTTACTTTAGGAATTTCAGAGTATGGCATACTCTGTATACACACTTGCATCTTAGGAATGTATATTAGATATGTTAAAGGAATTGTAAACGTAATTCCGAGTGATATCAAGAATAAAAGAGATATCTTTATTTTTATAGCTAAAAAGTGATTATTTTCAATTGAACATTTTTCGCTGTAGAGGGAATGAATGAAATTGAGGGAATTTTACAATTTTTAAAGCCTGCAAAACTACAATATCCTCCTGATTGTTACTCAGAAAGAAGCTTACTAGAACTGTTTGTGAGTCAGACATGCCAATATGTAAGTGAATGTTCACTCGATATTACGGATGCAGTCACTTTTAGTCAAGGTTGTATAATAAGGTTGGTTACTCTCGATGCGCTCCAATGTTGGGGAAATGTCGTCTCCTAAGCATTTATAGCTAACAACCTCATATAACGTCACTGGTAATATGCGGCAAGAGTGACGTCATAAAAGGTTTTTATCTGTCTATCTTAGGAGACGACATTTTCCGTACATTGGAGCGCATCTAGAGTAGTTTACCAAAGACATTTCATGGCAAAAGTACATTTCCCATTTATTAGATATATTGCCTATCCTAAGAGGGACATTTCCTTAAAAATGAACGTTCAAAAAGGAAAATTCTCGTTGGAATTTTTCACTTAAATATTACACTCACTTTGTAAAAATTGGAGAAAAAAAATCGTTTTTTACTGAGTCTGGAAACAACAGGTTTGATGGTTAGAATACATGAAAAAAGCCCAACATGCATAATGTACTTACATAGTACTTGAAGATCAATCTCAGCAGCTGACGGGTGTCCCACCCCGTTCTCTGCAGTACATATGTACAGTCCAGTGTGATGGCGGGACACGTCGGGTATATTTATAGAGACGCCTGCCATACTCTTCTCACCAGACGGCAGCATGTTGTTCTAAAAACAATTACAGATTAAAGGGAGTGTATGCACCTTAAGATATTAAAGCGATTGTATGCAACTTAAGATATTAAAGGGAGTGTATGCAGCTTGAATGTTGATCTGTCAATTCCCAAATAACGTATGAACGACTAAGCAGAAAGGGTTCTCTATGGAACTGATAATTCGCCTCAAGTTCTAATTTTCTAATTCTTATCACTGCAATTTGCAAGCTGATGTACAAGATCAAAAACCCTAAGTTTAAAGTATTTGAGGTTAACACCATCAGTTTGCAAAGATGAAGGAAATAAAGAACTAGAGTTCAGGCGAGTAGGCAGTTTCATTAAAGTGTAAAAATCTGTTTGATTTATTCGTTATTGTTAAAAAATTAAGCAGTAAAAGCTTTAAAAATTACGATTCAAATACAAAGTATATTTTCAATTTTCATGTAAAAAAGCTCAGGCTTGTTAAGTTTTCAATAAAAAGATTGAAGACATAAAGTTCTAGATTTTTATTTTATTTTGAATAATGATATATAACAGATTGTATGGTGGGTAATACGTAATAAGATTCTAATTCTATTACATAAGTAAGTAAAAATCCCCAAATTCCCCCCGGGGTTCGCAGGGAATTGAAAAATCTATGAAAGCGAAATTATTATTTTGATTTGATTGAACAATATTTTATGTATTTATTCTTTTTTTATTAAAGGGAGTGTAAAGTGTAAAAGTTGCATGTCTGATTTACCACAGGATCCTTTAAACCTTTTTCTCATCAAGGATGAATGAGAGGTCCTAGCTAACATTTCTTATTTCAATTGTTTATTTATAAAAGTGACCTGTGGAGTTAAACCTCAATAAAGAAAATCTTCCTAATTACTGTTCAGAGAAAGGTTTAAAGGGTTCAGTTTTAAATCAGACAAACCACCCTTTAAGTTGAGGCTAACTTTAAAGTTCGCCTATAGTAACTTTAATAACCGGCAATATAAGTTCTTAGAATAAAAGTATATTTTTTGTTTCACCAATTTTTTCTTAACACCCAAAACGGGAGAAATCTTGGATCTTGCGGTAAACCTTGAAATCAAATCTTTTTTATAAAGTTCAATCTAGGTACAACATCTGCTCTGCTTTGTCAGAATAAAATGTACAACAAAAATATAACACTCTTATTTTGGTTTGCAGTGTTTTAAAGTTATTGGACAAAGGTTTTCTCTTTATCGCAAAGGCGAGAACCTATTGAGAAAATTTTAGTCCAAAACTGTATAGCACGTTGTTCCAAAATAATATTGTACTAGGTAACTTCATAAAACGTTTGTGTACCTGTCTTATTTCAATAACTATTTCTAGACCAAATAAGCTTTGAAACAAAGCAGAAGTCAAAATATAAAGTTGATTTTAATTTTATGTTTGTTTCCATGGAAAAAATCTTGAAAATATCATAAATTTTTGGAGAAAATCCGGGAACCAATCAAAACTGCATAGCACACTTTAGCTAATTTAACATTATAGCACGATGATTACGTTATAGCACGTTCATTATGAAATTTACGATGAAGTGAGTAATAATGATTAAGTACACTATAGTTTCATAAAAATATATATTTGCAAACTTATTTTTCTTCAAAATACGACTTGTTCTGCAGGATTAACAAGAGATTGTCAGAAAAGAACCATTGTTAAATATTCTAAAACTACAATTTTACAATAAATCTTTTTAAATATTTAGAATTATTGTAAATCTGAATCTCCTGACTCCTGTTGAATAAGCTGTGTAGAATGATAAAAAGATAAATAAAGATTACACGGCTCGGTGAAGAAGAATAGAAGAGGAATTGATGGAAAAACTTCCCCCTAGCTCTTCCTCTTCCATAGATTAATTAAGGATGCATAATGTTAAAGAAAAGTTAAAGGTTTGATAAAAGTTTTACAAGCTAACAATAGGTTTCCTGTTCCTCAGGTCTTCCACATAGGACAGGGTATTTTGGAGAGCAACTCACTCAACAACTTTTACTCCCCCCCCCCCTACCCCGATGCACCCCCGCTCCGTGAATTTTTTCCATCATGAATATTTATGTTTTCTTACTCCTCTATTTTCCTTTTCCTCAATCTCGACGTTGGGTTAAATCATTTCTTTATCCGTTTGCTTTTTTGATTTCCGTATTTTATTTTTTAAGTTACTTTTTTGAGCCTCCTAGTTACTAGTTCCTGCACTTAAACTTGATATTTTTCCACTACACTTGTGGGTGTGATAATTGAATCTTTATTTATATTTCAACCAATACTTTTTATTTCCTTTTAGCTTCCCAGTAAAAATGTTCAACATCGATTTAATTCTTAACATTTTTGTATTTTCCAATATCTTCAATTTAAACATTTATTTTCCTTTTTCCGACTTTTAAAACTCGTAATTTTGGACCTATCCTTTATATCTGCTTTATTGAACGTACATTACCCTTCCCCTTGTTCTGTCATCTAAGTATTTCCTCTATTTTATGTTTTTATATCCCAACCCATCCTCCGCAAATACAATGTTAATACTGTATAAAACCATCCTAGATACAGCATGTCGTTTCTCCGATAAAACCCCCTCTTGTACTATCGTAATATGACGATTTTGGATTTTTGAGGGGAATTTTAGGCATATCAAAGAATTTGAGTCGCGAAGCAACAAAATATACTTATATTCTTGACACATCTTTGACTGGAAACTTTTAATTCTCTTTAAAAGTCAACCCATGCTCATAATTAAATTTTTAAATAAAGCTTAGAACATTTGGTTGGTCCTGCTGAGTTCCCCAATCAAAATTTGAGGAAAATCGGTCAAACTGTCCAAACAAACATACAGAGATTACTACTTTCTGTATAAACATATATTGAATGTTTTTTTCAAGGCCGGTACTCTCGACGAAAAAACTAAAGTTTTCCTTTCTCACATAATGTTAGGGACCATAGAGTCTCCTCATTATGTTTTTAGATTATTGTTATTCTTTTCACTACATTGCTTATATTTTCATTCATTTTGTTCAAAAGTTATTTAATTATTCTGAATACTTCCTTTGGGAGCAGTATTATTATGTATTATTTATGAATAAAAAACATGCTGATGGGATCAGCTACAAGTGGGGTCTTATAAACCCGTCATAGTGGAGATACATGGGGTCTTATAAACCCATCATAGTGGAGATACATTGGGTCTTATAAACCTTTCATATTGGAGATAAAGGGGGTTTCTTAAACCCGTCATGGTGGAGATATAAGGAGTCTTATAAAACTGTCATAGTGGAGATGCATGGGGTCTTATAAACCCGTCTTATCGGAGATACAGGAGGTCTCATAAACCCATCATAGTGGAGATATATGGGGTCTTATAAACCTGTCATATTGCAGATACATGGGTTCTCATAAACCTGTCATAGTAAGAGATACATGGGGTCTTATAAACCCGTCATAGTGGAGATACATGGGGTCTTATAAACCCGTCATAGTGGAGATACATGGGGTCTTATAAACCCGTCATAGTGGAGGTACAGGGGGTCTCATAAACCCATTATATTATGGTGGAGATACAGAAGGTCTCATAAACCTATCATAGTGGAGGTACAGGGGGTCTCATAAACTATATCATAGTGGAGATACATGGGGTCTCATAAACCCGTCATATTGGAGATACAGGGGGTCTTATAAACCCACCATAGTGGAGATACATGGGGTCTTATAAACCTGTCATATTGGAGATAAAGGGGGTTTCTTAAACCCGTCATAGTGGAGATATAAGGAGTCTTATAAAACTGTCATAGTGGAGATGCATGGGGTCTTATAAACCCGTTAAATCGGAGATACAGGGGGTCTCATAAACCCATTATAGTGGAGATACATGGGGTCTTATAAACCTGTCATATTGGAGATACATGGGGTCTCATAAACCCGTCATAGTGGAGATATAAGGAGTCTTATAAAACTGTCATAGTGGAGATACATGGAGTTTTATAAACCCGTCATATCGGAGATACAGGAGGTCTTATAAACCCATCTTAGTGGAGATATATTATAGATACTGTTTGTCTCCCATAAATGAATATACTAAATACAGTGTTTTTAGAAAATTATCACCTCAGAACGTACATACTACATAGTACTGCCGAACGATATAATTAAAACTGAAAAATAATTAAAAATGAAAAGAACTTGATTTGATTGATTAAATGATTGATCAGCTGATTTACTGTAGTAATTCTGTGCATCAAGATATATGTGGGTTAGTTCTTACACAACTTTATCAATGTCAGAAGTTTAGAAGAAAACTCAAAGGATAAAAAGGTTAAAAATCAAACTAAAAGAACTGTAAATATCAAAATTAAACTTTTTGAGAAGTCAGGTTTAGAAATTTATAATGCAAAATTGTGGCAAAAAACTTAATTGTTTCTAACTTTATCACGCATTCTAAAAAAAATTATTTGGTCTTAAATGTACATAAATAATTATTGACGTAAGTATCATGTTCCGTAAACATGAAAGATAAATGTTTCAAATAATAAAAATATTTTTAAAGTTTTAAAATTAAAAAATTTTAAGTTAAAAATATCTGTAACTGAAAGTTGTGAAAATTATACATTTGTTTAAAACCCTTTAAAAATACGATTAAGAAAACATTTTCCAGATTGAAAAGTTTTAAAAAGTTATCTTCATTTTGTAATCTTGGAATTTTTCGATGAATATTTGTGCAAAGTTTAGATTTTTTCATGCATTTTATATTTTGCTCCGGTGCTTTTACATTGTGATCAATATTCAATTTTCCCGGGGCAAACTAAAATTGTGTTAACTTTGAACCTGAAAATCCATTAAAACTAATTTGAAAAGTAATCTCGGGGATTTTATATTCGGTGAAAATATGCTTGGAGAAATGGGAAGAAAAATATCACAATGTAAGTTTTCCCTAAAGATAAAAGGGTTCAAATTTCCCATGAGAGGGGCACATAAGCAGGGGCATAGTTGAGGATAAGCTTAGAGGGGGGTGGACTTTTTTTGTGCACCCCCCTAAGTGAAATTTTTTTCCTCTGAAAAACCGATATTAAGAAAAAAATAGAGATTTTGTTAAAAAAAAAGATTAAGGTCTAATTGAAGAAAACGAGTATTATGGAAGTTTCATGTATTAGGCTTAAGGTAAGGTGCCGTCTAGGGAGGGCCTGAGGTTCTCCCCCCCCATACCCCCCCACCAATAAACCCCTGCACATATTTCCAGACAATGGACGTAGAAATAAGGAGAGAGAGAAAGAGGTTCCGGTTGTTTACATTTTACAGTGACGTATTAGAACAGCTCAGCAACTATCACAAGCAATGCAGGAAGGTCGGGCCTCATGAGCAAATTATCAAAATGTTGGTTATTTATAACAAAACTAGCTCTCCAGGAATGAAAAAATTTTAACTCAGACGATGTTTTCATCGATTTTTGTCGACATTGAAAGAATGAAAAGTTTTTTATTATTGCTAAATGTGGAAAAATAACTGATGTTATTCATCGCACGATGTTATATACATATATTTAAAGGGAGTGACCGGCTATGTAAGGTAATTGAACTGAGTATGCAGTGTTGTGGAAAGCTTCTTTCGGATTCATTTGAGACATATGAAACTTTTTAAAGATCTGTAAATCCTGAGTTTGAGCGTAAATTCGACGTTCAAAACTCCTACTTTGGGGGTGGATACGTTTTCAGAATTAGTTTTTTTTTAAATTACTAAATAACGACAACGAAAAATAAAGTAAAAATTATACAGTAGTCTAATTAGATGGTTGGGAACATATTTCTCAAAAGAAATTTGTCAAATCAATGCTCAAATCGATTATTTCGTTTTCATTATTATATTGAATTTTTAATTTTCTTTGAATTTATTTGCAGATTTCTTCAATTTCTTCAAATGTCGTCTTTTCAATAATAATTCTAGAAAATCTGCGAAAATCTTTGTGAATAATGAGAAAATAGATACTAATAATTGAACAAGATTACTTATTTTCGATAATAAGACTAATTTTTATTTTCTCAACATGTTCCTATACATGACGTCTGTAGTTTATTGTAAAACTGTTTTACTTTTTATGTCGTCGTTATTTAATAATTAAAAAAAACTAATTCTGAAAACGTATCCACCCCCTAAGTAGGAGTTTTGAACATCGAATTTTCGCTCAAACTCAGGATTTAAAGATCTTTAAAACGTTTAATAAGTCTCAAATGAATCCGAAAGAAGCTTTCCACAACACTGCATACTCAGTTCAACTACTTATATAGCCGGTCACTCCCTTTGAAAAGATTTTGAATTCACGCACTAAGCCAAAACATTTTGTTCTTCTAAAGTTTTTTATTTTTTTTTTTATTTTATTGTGAAACATTTGTGCAAAAAAAATATGGCAAAATTTTTTTTATAAATTTTGTCTTATATAAATATAGATTTACAAAAGATATTTTAGATTCAAGGATTTTTGTTCTAACTTTTCGATCTAAAGGTCTGATTGGAATATTTTTGTATCTGACAGCTTTGAAACTTTATTCTTTAAAGTTTAGAGTTTTCTTTATACGGTTAAGGGTTTGGGAAAAATATCATTCATTTTTAATTGATATATTTCCAAATTGGTGAGGTCACCTTAAAAATGCAGTTTAGTTGCAAATATATTCCATTTTTAATTAAGTTTATATTATACAATACCATGTTTTATCTATTTGGCTCTACACATGCATGGTCTGAAAGCTATTTACCTCTCTTGTCCACGTGATATTTGGGGTGGGATTTCCGGTTCCTCTGCACTCCAACGTGATAGTAGTTCCTTTTCTCACCACCAGGCGTCCGTCTGAAGGTGTGGATTCCACTCTGGGCGGTACTGAAGAAAACAATTCATCCAAGAAATTGAGCTCATGTCCCAAATTCAAATTCTCTAATCTTTTGTAACCTTCATTGTGCAATGTGCATTGTACACCTTTTATATTTCTAACTTAGACTGTTTGATATAAAAGATCATAGTTTAATCTAGTAAAGTGCACGGGATTGGGTCTTGTGGCTTAAACAAAGACAAAAGAGATGACATTTCATTGATATATTTGCAATTTTGAATCGAGGGCAACATGATGTGCTCGTGAGATCAAATCAAGAAATATCATCGCTTAAACAAAAGCTAGTTTTATCACTTCACAAAACTGAAATAATTGTAAGGATAGTTCAGTCATCTGAAAGTAAGAACTTAATTATTTTTTCATTTATTTTCATTTTTTTAGATCCATTTTCATTTACATTAACCCCTGTTTCCTTCCTTTAAAAAGAGTGTTTGCGAAAAATGAGATTGGCGCTATCTGGTTCGCTCAGCAGTTCACCCACAACGGCCACGAGGGCGCATAAGAATCGATGAATATCAATTTATTTTCACAGAAGCACATTGTAGGGTAATAACTTTGCTACCAATTAAAACCGAATTGAATTAAGATTCCTCCTACAGGCTACAACACCTCTCATTTTTCTCCAACCCTCCCTTTAGTCTGAGACTGCATGAATAATTGCAGAACTGCAGTCCATATGCAGAATAATAAAAGAACAGAGATACATTAATGCACGCGAAGTGAATATTCTAAGGCTCACAAAAAGTTTTATTCATTACTATAAACTTCAGTGCTTGCTCAGTGCACACTGCACACTGCACAGTGCACAGAGAAAGAAATATGTAAACTTGAAACATTTTTAAGAAAAAATCTTTTGATAATCCAAAGAAAAATGCTCTCAAACTAATGTACGTAAATTGTTGGCGATTTTGCTTGGCTGTCGTTTTGTTTGGTAGCTTAAAAGTCAAAATAAAATTCGTAATAGCTGAAATTTTGTTAGAAAACTAATCAGGAATGCGCAATTTTTTGAATTGTTTTGAACTTTTCTAAAATGATTACAAGAATTCTGGTTTTTAAACCAGCTTGAGTCCGTAAAAGAAGGTAAAGATTCCAAAAATTGGATTGGTTTGCATCAAATTCTTCTCTTTCTTCATTTTAAAAGAATAATGTTGTTCTCATCCTTTATCTCCGTTATTATTGTTTGGCAACTTGGAAATTCATGGATTATCTATAAAAAAGTTAAACTTATATTGCATCTTATAGATAGATTTTAACTTTGAATGCATTCCAATATCTAAAGAAGGTTTACCCAAAGAACAGCGTATTTCTCTGATTACAAATAATCATAAGAGTTTTAGATAAAACAACTTTTCATCAATTTATTTGAAGAATTAATAAAATTTCCAATAAAACAATGTTCATGAACAAATAACCTTTATATTCTAGGATTTAAAAACATCAATTATTTATGATTTAAACAAAGAATTAAAACTGATTTTAACCAAAATTTAAAAGCTTCTGAACGGAAGTGTTTGCAAAAAATAAAAGAGGGTATAAGCTTACGGCGAAAAATAATCGCTTTTGATCGCTACTAATCTTACTTCTATCTGTTTCGTTTATAAGGAGAAAATTGTTAAAAAAAACGACTTATTCTGAAGAACGTAGCGTCTATACAAATTCAGAAAGTTGCAGTATAAGACTCGGATCGTAAAAAAAAACAATTTAATTTCAAACAAACAGATTCAGATATTATGAATGCGTCGACAAATAATCGATGACTTTATGTTGAAGGATTTGTTTGAAATTAAATTGAAAACTTTTGCGCTTCGCGCCAAATATTTCCATTTTGCCCCCCTCCAACAAAATGTCTAGTTGCGCGCCTAATCCGCATTACGAATTCACCAAAAGATGGCTAACATTAAATGTAAATACAACTGTAGAGTTCTGGAAAGTTCTTTGTGTTAACAAAAAGATAAAAAAGATTTTGCATTGAAACTGTGAAACTTGAATTCAAACTCTTACTGCATCCTTTATGCATTATGTATTTATGCGAAGATAACTGCAAAAATTAAACATTGCAAACACTTTCTAAATTCCGGCATAATTTCATACAAATTATATTTTACGATGTATGCTGACATAATCAAAATATTGTCTAAAAGTATCTTTCAGAAATTCTTGTGTGTAATAACGGAATTGATAACTCGGCTCCCACTTTAATTGTCTAGTTCTTTATCTTTGAAACCAAGTGTCGCAGAGTTTTTTTTCAGTAAAAAAACTTGTAAAGCATTGAAACAAAAATCTAAGTTTCAACTTCATTGTGGAATATTTCACATGGAGTTAGATCGCAAAATATTTGGAATAACAATGAAAAGAATTGTTGAATAGATAATGACAGGGGGGGGGGGGGGGATATTAATGAATGTATAAACTACGGCCAAGAAAATCAGAATAATAGATCTTTTAATGATTTCAGGAATGAAAGGGAAAGAAAGAGCGAAGAAAACATTTCTGGCGGGGCACTCACAGATATCTGACATATCGCTTACAGAGAAAGTTTTTTTTTGCGAAAATTGAAGAGACAAAGGAAAGAAAAGAAAGAAAAGAATGAAAAAAAGAGAAGAATGAAAAAAAGAAAAGAAAGAAAAGACAAAAAAGGAAGAAACAGAAAGAAAAGAATGAAAAAAAAGAAAAGAAAGAAAAGAATGAAAAAAAGAGAAGAATGAAAAAAAGAAAAGAAAGAAAAGACAAAAAAGGAAGAAACAGAAAGAAAAGAATGAAAAAAAAGAAAAGAAAGAAAAGAATGAAAAAAAGAGAAGAATGAAAAAAAGAAAAGAAAGAAAAGACAAAAAAGGAAGAAACAGAAAGAAAAGAATGAAAAAAAGAAAAGAAAGAAAAGACAAAAAAAAGGAAGAAACAGAAAGAAAAGAAAGAAAAAAAAGAAAAGAAAGAAAAGAAAGAAAAGAAAGAAAAAAAAGAAAAAAAGAAAAGAAAGAAAAAAAGAAAAAAAAGAAAAGAAAGAGAAGAAAGAAAAGAAAGAAAAGAAAGAAACAGAAAAAAAGAAATAAAGAGAAAGATTTGCCTACCTAGAACCTCTAGTTTATGTTGTTGATGAAGGGGTGCTCCGAATGTTTCTACTTCACAAATGTATTCTCCTGAATCCTCATCAGTTATACTTGAGATAGATAGACTTTGTCCGTCCAGGTTCATCCTAGATTTTTCAATCATTATCAACATGGAAACTATTTTACAAGATGTTAGGTACTTTCCCAAATGCTTTTTCACAAGCGACAACTTGTTATTGGTATTTTCACTAGTGGAAACTTGCCAAATGTGTTATTTCCCAAGCGGCAACTTGCACATTTGGAAGGTGCCACTTGGAAAATTGTCACTTTGGGAAGTCGCCCTTGGGAAATTGTCTCTGGGAAAGTACCTTTTATAATTTACTTTCATCCTCCTTTTCTTTTACCCCCGTCGTAAAGTGGGACTCATAAAACTTTGTAACATGAAGAATGAAGATGATTATTAAGCAAATGTATGAGCATTTGATCTTGTTTTAAAGCAGATGGTTTTACCAGAATCTTAAGAAGCGAAATAGGAATATCTACACAGAACAATTAATTGTGCTTCATGTTTATCAGACTTTTAAAAATATATAATTTAAGTTTTACTATTCCACAATTTATAAACAAAGCGCCAGAAAAAGTATGTGAGTAATATATATTTAAAATGTTACATTTATTCACATGACATTGTTAACATACATAGATGTGGCTTATATATCCACGCAGAAGGTCTTTTTATGCCGATTTTTGAAATTACATGGGCAACGCTAGGAACTCTAAACAGCTTGAACTTATAATTTTCATTTCACCTTTTTTCTACCTTATACAGTACATTTTGGAATTGGCAGCACTAGACCAATTTTTATCTTATCGTTTTCTAAATCATATTTGTAAAATTAGATTGTAAAGTCGTCTGATTAACTATAAACTAATTTTAATGAATTATAGCCCCGTCTCAATCCACCAAAAATCGGTTTTAATTGAGCTCTGGCTTAAATCTTGAAACATTTATATTAATGTACATAGATAATACATAGATGTATATATAATGATTCACTTTACTTACAGTGTCGATAACCAGAAACCTGTATAATAGGAAGACGATATTGATGTTCATAGATAATACATAGATGTATATATAATGATTTACTTTATTTACAGTGATAACCAGAAAACTGTAGAATAGGAAGATGATATTGATATTGATTGATTCCTTTTCCAGAGTTTTCTAGTTATCACTGTATAGCAAAGAACATTTGTTACAAAATAAAGATGTTTTGGAGTTGATTAGAGAAGATTTANAAACTACAAAAATAGTGATTTCCACATTAGTTTTATTTAAAAGCTTCGACAAGTGTTGAAATATTCCCTAAATGTTTACTATGTTCTGACATTGAACATAACACTCTAAAAAGCTGAGAGTTGAGCCATATATATATTCAGATACATCAGCTCAAATTCTCACGAAAAGAGAAATAAATAACTTTCAAAATGGAACCCTTTAAAATGGTGGTACACGTAATTCAAAATGAGTGACATGCCGGATTCACAATGGGAACCGTATCCCTCTATCTGAGTAACAATATGGAATTTAACTTGTTTGATTAATTCTGACAATTCTCTAATTTTCTCTGTACAAGTCACATTTTATTTTTTCCTGAGAGATAGAGTAAAGCATATCTCATATCATTGATCAGACAATGGTTTGAAGGCTACCGCTGTGGATCAAACTTGTCCCGCCCTAATGAGAGGGTCACTTTAAGTCTTAAAAACCAAACTTTTAATCATTAATTCATGTCGACAAAGTGTCTCAAATTATGAAATTTATATTTCAAGAATTGGAATAATTTCCTCTAGAGCTCTGTCTATGTTCGTAAAAGCAGTAATGTTGATTTAATATAGAAAGATAACTGTCTGCAAATTGCCTCCTAAATCACTTCTTTCCAAGATGGAGAGAGAGAGAGAGAACACCAATTTCATAAAAATTTTCACAGAAAACCTTCAACTCTAAATTCGAATATTCATGGATTTGTCACAAAATTCGCAGGAAACTGAAATTTTGTTTAAAACTTTATTTTTGTAGATTCTTTCATTTCTGTCATCTATATAGTTCCTTACAATCCCTTTATAAAGTGTATAGTGTCTAGCCTTAGATTCTTTATAATTTACAATCCCTTTATAAAGTATCTAACCTGGGATCCCTCCTTATATGCAATCCCTTTATAAAGTATCTAACCTGGGATCCTTCCTTATATGCAATCCCTTTATAAAGTATCTAACCTTGAATTCTTTCTGACATACAATCCCTTTATAAAGTATCTAACCTGGGATCCTTCCTGACATACAATCCCTTTATAAAGTATCTATCCTGGGATCCTTCTTCATATACAATCCCATTATAAAGTATCTAACCTGGGATCCTTCCTGATATACAATCCCTTTATAAAATATCTAACCAGGGATCCTTCTTCATATACAATCCCTTTATAAAGTATCTATCCTGGGATCCTTCCTGATATACAATCCCTTCATAAAGTATCTATCCTTGGATCCTTCCTGATATACAATCCCTTTATAATGTATCTAACCTGGGATCCTTCCTGATGATCATATTTCCAGCTGAAATCATTCTAGCATCCTTCTTCCAGATCAGCGTAGAAGAACCTGATATACAAATATTCTAATTTTTTATTTTTTTAAATTTTTTCTTATATTGTGGAGAAACCAGATACAGAGGTAGGCAATAAAAAAAAATAGAAATACTCTTCGCCATTTATGTGCTCCATAAAGGCACATTGCACAACGTTTGAATCTAATCATTATTTTTCTGAACCAGGGGAGCTCGTGTGAAAACAGCCTGAGCTATCTTGTAGCTCCCCGGCCACAAAATATATATTTGTAATTGTATAGTCATTTTTATTAATATGAATATTGTTAACTTGTGGCCCAATAAATAAATGATTTGATTTGATTTGATTAAAAATAAAGACGGTTTTGTTATTTATAACTCCTATATAGATATGTATAAGGAAATATGTTTTACACATTTAGCAAAGTTACAGTTACACAAAACACAAAACAAAACCTTTGTGGTATTATTAATTCAAAGAAAATATAGAAGACGACAACCATTCTGGTTTATATTGGTTAGTTTATAGAAATAATCCTTAAACATTTTTAAAATTATTTCTCTTACTTTTGTTGCATTTTTATTATTTATTTATAATCATATAAAAATTTTATATTTTTGTTGTACGATTTGTCTTGAATTGCATTTTTACCTAGGTTTTCAACCCTACAAGAGAATGTTACTGAACCTCCAATCTGCTCCTTATACACCCTAGCACACAGCTCATTAGCAAACCCAATTTAGAGGAAAGTTTAGCAGGCCGAGTTTAGAATATAGTTTAGCAGGCCCACTTTAGAATATAGTTTAGCAGGCCCACTTTAGAATATAGTTTAGCAGACCCACTTTAGAATATAGTTTTGCAGGCCCACTTTAGAATATAGTTTAGCAGGCCCACTTTAGAATACAGTTTAGCAGACCCATTTAAGAATATAGTTTAGAAGACCCAGTATATAAAATAGTTAAGTATAGACCCCAGTTTAGAGGATAGCTAGCAGACCCAGTTTAGAATATAGTTTAGAAGGCTCAGTTTAAACCCAGTACAGAGGATAGTTAGCAGAGCCAGTTTAGAATATGGTTTAACAGACCCATTTTATAATAGAGTTAAGTAGAACCAGTTTAGAATGTACTTTAGTAGATCCAGTTTAGAATAGTTAAGCAGACCCAGTTTAGAATATGGTTTAGAAGACCCAGTTTAGAATATGTAGACCCAGCTTAGAATATAGTTCAGCAGACCCGGTTTAGAATATAGTTTAGTAGATTCAGTTTAGAATATAGTTCAGCAGACCCAGTTTTGATTATGGGTAAGCAGACCCAGTTTATAATATGGTTAAGCAGACCCAGTTTATAATGTGGTTTAGCAGACCCAGTTTAGAATATAGTTAAGAAGACCCAGTTTAGAATATGGTTAAGCAGACCCAGTTTATTACCTCGGGGTAGAAATAAAGTATGGTGAGGGTGGAAGGTCTGATTTATAATGTTCGTATCTTGCTGTCTCCACCCTAGCCACCAATCTTCCTGTAACAACCAAACATATTTTAGTTTTTTTTGACAGAGCAAGAATTTTATTTATGCAAATTTGATTTCATTGCAAAAATAAAATGACAAGCAAGCAAGAAAAATGTTGACTAATACAACTGAAAAGCTTAGATTTTATCTTGAACCAAAAGCATTTATATACAGATGTAATTACTGTAAAACAACAAAAATAGTGATTTCCACATTATTTTAGATATGCATATTTTTTTTAAGATATTAAAAAAGGAAACTTTTATTAGAATTTTATCAAATTAAGCGTGTTAAATGCCTCAACTTTGTAGTTTATAATCCCTAAATCTTTGCATTCTAATTGTGTAAACCTTAAATAATTCACAATATGATTTTCAAATAGCCAAAATTTAGTACATCAAACATCAAAGGGTTTCCTTATTTAGTTGCATAAAAAAGGGGATTAAACAATTAGAGTTTGAGGCAAGTGTTGTGTTTCTTTATGTATTTAATAGTTTATATTGGTTTAGTGTGCATTGTGCATAATGAAGAGAATTTAAGTTTATTTACTGTAACAGTGGGCGAGTTTTGTTGATCTTTTACGATCAGCAATTCAAGGATAAGAGAAGTGAAAAGTTCTAACTATAAACGAATAAAGTGTAAAGAGAAGTGAAAAGTTCTAAATATAAAAAAATAAAGGTTAAAGAGAAGTGAAAAGTTCTAACTTTAAAGGAATAAAGGGTAAAGAGAAGTGTAAAGTCCTAACTGTAAAGGAATAAAGGGTAAAGAGAAGTGAAAAGTTCTAACTGTAAAGGAATAAAGGGTAAAGAGAAGTGAAAAGTTCTAATTGTAAAGGAATAAAGGGTAAATAGAAGTGAAAAGTTCTAACTATAAAGGAATAAAGGGTAAAGAGATGTGAAAAGTTCTAACTAGAAAAGAATAAAGGTTAAAGAGAAGTGAAAAGTTCTAACAGTAAAGGAAGAAAGGGTAAAAGAAGTGAAAAGTTCTAACTATAAATGAATAAAGGGTAAAGAGAAGTGAAAAGTTCTAAATATAAAGGAATAAAGGGTATAGAGAAGTGAAAAGTTCTAACTAGAAAAGAATAAAGGTTAAAGAGAAGTGAAAAGTTCTAACTGTAAAGGAATAAAGGGTAAAGAGAAGTAAAAAGTTCTAACTATAAAGTAATAAAGGGTAAAGAGAAGTGAAAAGTTCTAACTATAAAGGAATAAAGGGTAAAGAGAAGTGAAACGTTCTATAAAGGAAATATTCGTAAATTAGAGCACTCTAAAAGAGAATATTCTTAAAATCTAACGAATGGATGGATTGATGGTGTCACATTGTGTAGAGCATGGCAAAGGTTTAGATTATTTCCAAACAAAATCTTCAATTTATTTAAATAAAATCTTAAGATTTAGTCATGGGTAAATAATGGCTTTAAGTCTTAATTTCAAAATTATATTTAAATGTTTTTTTTTATGAGAAACTGACTGTAAATGGTTTGTTTGTGCGACCTCCGCGGTTTATTAATGTAAAACTAATTCGAGTCAGTAATCAATTAATTACGGAAGGGTATAATTTAGAAACAATTTCAGGACTCCACTAAAAAGCCTTTCATCGTTTCCAATACTTGGAAGTTAGAACTGAGTTTGTTTTTCCCCCCGTAGCCTTTTAAAGTTTACAATATTGTTTATAAACATGTCGACATTCTTGAATATTTCTTAATAGAGATTCAAGAAAACCCTTTTAATTTATTATGTAGATAAAAATCATTCTCAATTTTTTGTAATATTTGCTGTTAGAAGTTCTCAAAATTTGAGAAGAGTTTAAAATTCTTCTTTGAACTAAATAAAAAGTTTATAGAAATTTGTTATTTCTATTTACCTATGGATAAAACTGTGATCAAAATGTTCAAATTGATGGATTCCCGCATTTTAGATTTATTCTTATTTTCCGTGAAACCGCTGAAATGTCAGTCTCCGCTCTGGAAGACGACTGAAAGTTCTGTCTCCGAAGTGGCCGGTTGATTGGGATAATTCGGTTTCCTTGATTCTCCACAATCAACAGTTTTGCTCTGAAACAAACAAATATTTATTATTATTATTATTTTTATTATTACTATTGTTTAGTTATTTATTGTAAGCAAACAATAAAACTGAAACATGGAATTGAATTAGCTTGCATTTCTAATCGTTTCAATCATTCAATACATGCAGTCTAAATACTTAAAAACAGGAATTTTTGGACTAAAAGACCAAATTTAATGAATGGTAAGAAGTAATTGAACTACATTGACAAAGTTGAACAACTTTTCTTGAGTTTAAGAGAAGTGGTTCAAGGTTTAACTTTATTTTACTAGTTCTCACTGTTCATTAAACTGTGTGGTTCCTCTGGTTAGCAGATGTATATTTATGTTTCACATAATTTAGCGATTGACGAGGAAAAAGAAACTAAGAAAAATAAAATGAGAAAAGTATCATCGTAGAGGCTGGTTTAGGAAAAGCAGCGTCATTTTGGATTTGAACCGAACTGCACAACATCACACTTAGACGCGAGTTTTAATTTAGACATAGATTAGAATAATAAATCCATTTGTGACAGAATAGCCAGGGATGGGCAAACTTACAGCTTTAAAGAAATAATGAAAAATTTCGACAACGAACGGGACTTAACTGTAAATGTGTTACAATTCACGAATGAAAAGAAAGAACTTTTTATCAGATAAAAGGTTTAGGGATTCAACAACATGTGGAACTAACATCTACTTTATTTAACTCTATGAGGTTTGGACCATTATCAACAACAATTTTAAACTGGGTGTAAGGATACTTTTGTGAGTCTAATATGTCTAATACGGCTCGAGGATCACTTAAAATAAGGTCTACAGTACCTTTAAAGCACAGAAAGAAACTTTAATTGATTTGTATAAAACGATAATGTTACGTTAATTGGACGGATTTAAAAGAATATAACGTGCCCAGTCCTAGATTTGTAGGGAATGGTGAGAAGGAGATGACCAGAGCCCAAAACTTAAAACGTTATGAAAAAGGGGGTTAGGCAATTTTGTTGATATAAATTTGTTTGTTATGAAATATTTTTTTTATTAAGTTTCTTCATATTCTCCATTTTTTTAAATCTCTGAAATCAAAATCTACACAAATGCTAAGAGTTTCGTTTATGGATACAATTTTAAATTTTGGGCTCAGAGCCCGAAATTTAAAAGAGTATCGGCGGAATTTGTAAACAATAATAGATGCATCAGTGTTCGTCTAGTATCAGAGGAGGAACAAAGCATTTAATTTTTATAATTTTGATAATTATAATTGATAGTTTCCTCTGACCAGAATATTTCATTGATTATTTTTGTGAAAATGGATTCCATGTCAGGCTGTGACATCCGTCTTGTGTTTACTTTTCCGCCGAAAAGACTGTACACTGCAGTACAAAAAATGCGTACACCTCTGAAATAACTTTCCTTGCATTAGTACCTTGGTTGGAGATGAAACTCTAATGTTTGGTTAATAAATGAAGTAGAACTAAAGATGCAAGTATGAAGGTCTCCTACCATCTCTATAGTTGGAGAATATATGATTATGAATCTATTACAATAATACAAACAACAATAATACAATCATTATTCTATTGTATATTATTGTATACTCAGGATATTAATATATTTGTTGCAATATTCATCTTAGGCTTGTTGGGACAGATCAGAAAACTAATAATATGAATAGCAAACCCCAATTCACGCTGCATTATATGATAAGAGATAATGCGGTATTTGCGTAGCACAGCAATTTGTATTTTCACAAACTAGTGAGACCGGGCCATTTTGAAGAGCATTATACACTTTACCCTTTTAGATAAAAGAATAAAAAAGATATTTTCTATATTAAGTATTGAGTAGTGAGCCACCTTGAAACTAAAACAAGTTTTTTTCTTAAAAATATATTTCTTATTTAAAATTTCTAAAGCACTTAGAATTAAACTCAAGGTATTTTTACTTTACAGAGATAACATAAATCTCAGGAAAATTAACAATTTATGTTCTAGATTCATTCTACACTAATTTAAGGCAGAGGAAACATGTGTCATTTCTAGAAAATGTTTTGAAATTGTAGATTTACTAGAAATTTTTTAATTCAAATTTTCAAATTAAATTAATAATTATTGATCAAACACCGCCAATGAATTAAAATGAAGTCGTCAACATCTTCGAGAAATTTTACGAACTTTTCAATTGAAAAATATCGTCAAATAAACATCATCGATTCCAAACATTTCCTGAGTAATTACTGACAACAAATTAGTGTATTAATTTATATTGTGGAAGATAATTATATTATTTATAGTTAAATAATTTATAATTATTAATCATTATTAGAAATAAGAGAACCCATTAATTAAAGCACGCAAGCAAAATAGTCCTTTTAGAAATGAAAAAAGGGAGGGGGGGGGGACATGACTTAATAATGACTTCATACAAATTAATTACCTTTTCTGTGAATTAAAGTGGGTTTACATAATGGAAAAATACAGGAGAATAAATGATCTAGTAAATCTTCGAAAATTTATATGATCTCATTTGTTAGATGCATTCAGAATATAATAGCATTAAAGAACGATAAACTGATCAACGAAAGGATGAATAAAGGGAAGGATGAATGATTAATATAAAGCATGAATAATGAATATTATGGATAAATATAAAGGATGAATATAAAGGATAAATGATGAATATGAAAGAAGAATGGTGAGTATGAAGGATGAATGATAAATATGAAGGATAAATGATGAATATGAAAGATGAATGATGAATATGAAAGATAAATGATGAATATGAAAGATGAATGATGAATATGAAAGATGAATGATGAATATGAAAGATGAATGATGAATATGAAAGATGGATGATGAATATGAAAGATGAATGATGAATATGAAAGATTAATGATGAATATGAAAGACGAATGATGAATATGAAAGATGAATGATGAATATAAAAGATGAATGATGAATATGAAAGATGAATGATGAATATGAAAGATGAATGATGAATTTGAAAGATAAATGATGAATATGAAACATATATGATGAATATGAAGGATAAATGATGAATATTAAGGATGAATGAGTGAAAGAATGAATGATGCTAAAAAGATCTTCAGAATTTCCAAAATGAACTGTAAATCTTCCTGCAGTAGAAAACAGGGGGAAATTAAAGAAAATAAATTTAATTCTGACACCTTGCATTTCCATTTATTCGTCTTCAATGAAAACCCTTTAAATCCAATATCTGGTTTCAAATAACAACTTTTAAAGCATTTATGAAAATATACAAGATTTTAAGATTTAAACTTCTGAACTCAGCAGTTAGCGTTTAAAAATTAGAAGATATTTTGTTTAGACTTTTACGTTAAAACTTCCTACGTAGATAGATATGGTTTAAAAAAACTATTTTTACCATTTAACGTTGGTTATATTAACGTTTTAATAAATGAATAATTTAGACCAACTCGCGTTTAACCCTATCCCCGCTGGGGTACTTGAAAACCAGGATACGCAGGGTATATTGGTAAATAAATATATATATATATATATATATTTATCCACAAGATATACAGGTCTCTAAACAAGATATACAGGTCTATCCACAAGATATACAGGTCTATCCACAAGATAAACAGGTCAATTTACAAGATATACAGGTATATCCACAAGATATACAGTGCTATCCACAAGATATACAGGGCTATCCACAAGATATACAGGTATATCCACAAGATATACAGGTCTATCCACAAGATAAACAGGTCAGTTTACAAGATATACAGGTATATCCACAAGATAAACAGGGCTATCCACAAGGTATACAGGTCTATCCACAAGATAAACATGTCAATTTACAAGATATACAGGCCTATCCACAAGATATACAGGGCTATCCACAAGATATACAGGTATATCCACAAGATATACAGGTCTATCCACAAGATATACAGTTCTATCCACAAAATATACAGGTCTATCCACAAGATATACAGGTCTATCCACAAGATATACAGGTCTATCCACAAGATATACAGGGCTATCAACAATATATTAAGGTATATTCACAAGATATACAGGGCTATCTACAAGAAATACAGATCTATCCACAAAATATTAAGGTATATCTACAAGATAAACAGGGCTATCTACAAAGACATGTTTCCGAAACTGAAATTTTTAATTCTTGGTTTCCTGCAACTGTGAACTTGCTTAATTTTTTCATTTAATAAAATTTATTTAGACGCTTAAGACAGCATCAAACTATTATAATTCTTAGGTAAATTCTCATTCATGAAGGGGTACTAGGTAGGATCTTTTTCACTTTTTTGAAAACGATCGTTTCGTTTTAAAAACGACGAAGAAATAAGAAAAAAAACGAAGCTAAAAATTGAAATTAATTGTCATAAAACTTTTAAAAAAACGATAGTTTAAAAAAACAGTTATTAATTTTGTTTTAAAAGTTCAAAACGAGTGGTCCATTATCGAAACTATCGCTTTTTTCTTGAGACGAAACGATTGTTTTTAGAAGAAAAAAAAAACGATCGTTTTTATAAGCGATTGATAACGAACGACTTCTGGGTAACCTGTCTGCAAACATGAAAACCAATTTTTGAAAACTTATTTTTTTTCCGAAATTGCTGAAAGGAAAAGATACAAGAGTTTTTAGAACAAAACTAAAATATATGTGAGATTATGAACTACAGGGTTACCCACAAAATATGAGAATTCACATAATTTCTTAGCATTTAGCAGCTACAAGACAAATCAGATTTAATCTGTCAGTTAAGATTTTTTTATATTATTTTTATGCATTTTTGTCCCAAATTTAGGAAAAAAATCGGATATTTCAAAAATGTAAGCACATGGTCACATACCAAGTTTTTCCGAACCGATGTTTCTGTAAATATAAACAATTTTGAAACCTTTAAAGTTTACGATAGAAAATTACTCACCTATTTCTGTTCACATTTTGAACTGCAGTTTGAGTTTAATGAAGTTCAAGAGTGCCCTCGTATTTCACGAACTTTTTACAATTGTACTTTGTTATTTTTCTACTTTAGAGTACATACACTTGGTAAAAGATAGTGCATAAGCCACAGATAAGCCTCTTACTCTGTTCTTTAGTCAACTGAAAGGTACCGACTCCCGAAATTCCCCCTTGAAGTACGACAATCCCCCCCCACCACCCCGGTCCGAGTAGACTCGTAGTCGTAGAACCTTGATTCCCCGACTCCAACCCGGTTCAAAGTTCCGGTGTTCCTGGACCCCGCTCCTTCCCTTTTATCTATTTATTCTTAAATCCTTTCTCATAGCTATACAAGATTTGTTTCTTACTAAATACATCTTATCGATATATATAATAGTTTGGGTAAGGTTTGATAGATATCTGGACCGAGCGCTGCAGCTGATGGTTTAAACTGCGCTCCCCTAGACAATCTACAAACGTGCGGAAGGAAGGTTTCGAAAGCTATACCAGAGAGAATGCTCAGAGGCGGATACAGGGGGGGCGTGGGGACATTTGCCCCCCCCCCCTGAATTTGGAATTTTTTGTTCCTATTTTCAGAATAGCTTCTCAATAGCATGCTTAAGGGAAAGAAACCCTAGTGCAAAACAGGAAAAATATCTGTCTCATTAAACTATAATGTGTGAAAAGTTAAAAATCTAGTTTTAGTCATTAATTTTGACTTTTTTGAGTCCTTTTAAGTAAAAAAAAAATTTTCGCCTGCGCTGCGATTTTTTGTTCCTAATTATGAATTTTTTTTGTTCCTAAAAAATCTTGCCCCCCCCCCTCACTTAAATCCTGTATCCGCCCCTAAGAATGCTTGTGTGAAATGTATTGATTGTTAGAACATGTTTTTGAGACAAAACTCTAAGAAAAAACTCATCTTCATCTATTACAATTGATTAATTGGTTTAAAATAAAACAAATTGAAAATGACGCTGAAATGTTTATTTTGCGGTTATGAGACATATTTTGAGGAATAAAAAAGAAACCATTAACTTTTAATAAACATTCGTTGATTGGTATCGATTCTTTTGATACTAGGAAAACAAGAAACAATTCTTGAAAAAAAGAAATTAAACATTTTAATATTTATTTCTTCTTGACAATGACTCATTTTACACAAAAACATTAAATAAAAATAAAAATAACCAATAAAAAATTAAAGCAGTTTATCCTAGGTTCGGACAAAAGATAAGACTCACATGACGACCTTAAACTCTTTAAATATAACATCTAAAAGTTCGATTTGGATTTCTGTCTTCAAAATTGCCTTTAATTGTTTATTGAATAATTTTGCAAATGAAGAAACAAGTGGACAGCTGCAGGGAACAATGAATGTAAGATATATAAGGCTAAATGAATTCTGTACAGTCGTCGTTAAAGTTTCCACTGTCTGGGTAACCCCTGTATACAAAAGTAACTAACATTTTAAATGTTTTGTATTTCTAAATTAAGAAGAATAAATTAAGTAGAAATTATAATGCACAACTGTTAAGAGGTTCCGTGATTACATCTTATTTATATTTTGATCTGTATCCCATATCCGTTATTTTAAGCAGTCTGTTGTTCTCAATTAGGGGTTATTTTTATTTCAGTTTGTAAATACGTAATTATTCGCTTCATATTCCTATATTCATTTTACATGCTTTAATCAGGATTCAATTAGTTAAATTTAGTGAAAAGTTGTTTTCAACTGTTGTATATTGCAAAAATTGAAAAAATTATTATAAAAATCGTTTTTATTAAATACACTTAATATAAACTGAGGGAGGAAATTTATGTAGAGCATCGTTAATCTTGAATGCTTGATCTCGATATTCAATTTGGACACTTTTCAATTGAAGGAAAAATGCTTGAAACCCCAACTAAAATTATCCCTGCCAGGGATGTTAAATAGGAATTTGATTTAATTAATTGATCTGCATAAGATGAAGATCAATACTTAATCCTGAGATTAATAACACAAACATTTTGACTTAGAAAAGCTTAAAGTTATTAATTATGGGTGAATGGATTGTTTCTCAAAGTGCAGAAAACAAGCTTATAAAATTAATAATAGACTGAACTCATGAATTTACAACATTTACGCTAAAGGTGTGTTAATGTACGTATATTAGCTTGGTACACGTTTTAAAAAAGAAACTTAAATTTTCAAATTCCATTTATCTTTGCAACCTGATGGTACGAACCATTGATATTTAAAACTTAGATTATTTAATTTAACAGAATTATTAGCTTCAAATTTCAAAAGCACATTTGGTTGCAAAGATGTTTGGAATAGAAAGTTTGAGTTTGTGGCAAAAACCCCGGTCCCTTTGTTTTTATAAAATCTATAAATTACTTACCTACTATTCTGTGACCAGGAGTACTTTCTTTATTTATATTAAATACCCCATGTGTGCATCAAAATACGAATAATATAAAAGTGTGAAAGGTTGAAAAATGATCCCTTCAATTTTTAATGCCCTCCCCTTCTCTTCTTCTCTCGTAATTCCCCTTCAACCTCCCCCCCTCCCTTTCTATTACAAACCTTTTTTTTGTCTTTTTGATAAATTGGTAAAATTGCCATTGTTTATAATATTCTTTTATTTCTGAGTAGTCATAAATAAAAAAAAACACTGGACACGTATTATACAAAAATTCATTCGGTTCAGTCGTTTTAAAGTGTTCAAGCTACAGACTCAAATAATTAAACTTTTTGAAATTCCACATCAAATTGTTTATTTTAAAAAAAGGTTTCGCCTTTTAAAGTTTGGTTCCGAACTTGCGAGTAATAAAACTGCTATTCTGATCTAAAAAAAAAGATTTCCATTTGGATTATTTTGCATTTTTATTTATTGATTAAATATAAAACTTATTTCATCTAATCCTATAAACTGCATGTATCCAAACTAACCCCTTAAATTCTCTTCATCAGTTCAGGATTAAACATATTTTACTCTTTCATTTTCGCTTCATAATAAGAAATTTGGGAGTGTATTCCCCCCTCCCCTTCATTGTCGGATTTAAGGATTAGGCTAGTTCATCTTTTCGTGTTCAGTGTTCACACCGTGGATTATAGATATAAATATAAAATATATTGTAAATATATATTTAAACATATTTAATATTCTATATAATACGGAGTCTGTGAAGCTAGTTTATATGTAACCAGACATAAAAAGATATGTTATGAAGGACGAGATTTTATAGTTATTGACAGGAGTACTTGAAGAGGAAAAGGGGGTTCACCGACATGGGGTCAAACGACAAATTTGTTCTTTTACTATTTTAAATAATTTGCTTTCTCTCATCATATTTTGAGTTAGGTTAGGTTAAGACAATTTCAGGGCCGAGCACAATTGCACCCCGCGAACGACAGGATTCCCGACTCTCTTGCACCCTCGAACGTAAAGCGATCCGACTGGAACAGCAGAGGGCCTGCCTATACGCGCATTTTCACAAGGTTTTTGCGCCCCGTGACTGGGAACAAATTGCGTGCTTTGAAAATCCGAACATTTTTGCAACCTGAGACTGGCGCACTTTCCCAGCATAGAGTTTCCCAGGGATCGGGCTGAAAGTACCAGGGTATCCTCCCCATTCACATGGCTAGCGTGTATTAAATTGGGTATCAATTTGGGTTTCCTTTCACAAAAGACCACTTATAAATAATCTTTTAATTCAGGAGCCAGACAAACGGGAGCTTAAGCTTCCATATATTCTAGCTATTCAATTTCAATCCTTAATAACTCAAAAAATATTTGACCTACAGCTTAGAGATTTTAGGTCATAAATTTTGTAGTATTTCTTCGCGTGCATGCAAAATTTCAAGGCTGTAGCTCAAAAACTCTAGGTGTGAGCGATGCCGAAAGTAGGAGCAAGACAAGGAGCTAGAATAAACTTAACAGATTTTGGTCCTGTGCCTTCATTTTTGAAGCAATTTGGCTCAAATTTCTTGGGAATCTCCCAATATGTAGGACATGACTTAAAAAAATTGTCAAGTCGCTAGCTCTCATGGCTAAAAAGTTTAAGGACACCATTTTTGAAAACTGAAATTGATGATGAACACATATGTATAACAGTTCACAAATTCTGCAGCGCTCGGCCCCCTAGCCCATCCAAGCCGCAGCGCTCGGCATCTTAAATGTGAAATAAAATGCCGTCTCTCACCTTATTTGTGGTTCGGACAGAGTGCTGCGACATTTTAAATGTTAAATAATGTGCTCTCTCTTGAAAAAAAAAGTTTGCCCTTTTGTCGCACTTTTTGACTATAGGTCGTTTTACCCTAGGTTGCGGTTTTTACCCTAGGTCGTTATACCCTATGGCATTTGACCATAGGTCGTTTGTCCCTTTATCAGTGAGTCCAGGAGATATGATCTATGCCAGGAGACATAATCTATGACAGGAGATATAATCTATTACAGGAGATATAAACAAGAACAGGAGATATAATCTATGCCAGGAGATATAATCTATGAAAGGAGATAAAATCTATGCCAGGAGATATAATCTATGACAGGAGATATGATCTATGCCAGGAGATATAATCTATGCCAGGAGATATAATCTATGACAGGAGATATAATCTATGCCAGGAGATATAATCTATGACAGGAAATATAATCTATGCCAGGAGATATAATCTATGACAGAAGATAAAATCTACGCCATGAGATATAATCTATGCCAGGAGATATAATCTATGACAGGAGATATAATCTATGACAGGAGATATAATCTATGCCAGGAGATAAAATCTATGACAGGAGATATAATCTATGCCAGGAGATATAATCTATGCCAGGAGATAAAATCTATGCCAGGAGATATAATCTATGACAGGAGATATAATCTATGACAGGAGATATAATCTATGACAGGAGATATAAACTAGGACGGGGATATAAGATAAGATAAGATAATATAAAGTTTATTGCTAAAATAAATGTATCTGTATACAGATAGAGTTTACAATCACAAAATTGATGATTATATTAACAGTACAAGTATAAAGCAATTAGGTGGAAAATAGCTCTTGGCTGTTTTGATTATTTTTTCCACCTAATTTTAGTAATAATAACAAAATATTTCAATTAAATAAATTTAAGGAGAACGATTAGAGATAAGGGTGCGAATTTATCATATGCA